AGCTGCAGTAATACAGATTTTATAACCAATTTCAAGCATCTGTTTGTGGAAGCATAATTCATGGGGTTCTGAAATTAATCTCTTGTTCTATTCCAGAGGAACAATTCCAGTCACTGTTAAAAATCAAGGAGTACGAATTTTCAAGTAAAAGTAACAATAACATTACTCTGCAAGTTTCTTGTCATATAAATAAAAAGAACAAAACAATCTTATAGTTAGGCAGTGTTGAAATACAGTCTAAACACACCTTAAAATGTTACATGTTTGACGTTGATTTTTTCAAACCTGAAATGTAAGTATAATCAGCCTGTAAAATGTGAAACCTTTTTTTAAAGTGTAAACAGTGAAAGGAGCTAGAAACATTCCAATAATGCCACCTACTGGCAAAAGAGAAGACCCATCTTTTCTTTCTGAGTAACTTTTAAACTAAGAGCTTTAATTTCAATACAATATTAATACCACTGGTGACCTTTTCCCTCGCACTCATCTGAAGCAAGTAATTTCTTTCATCCAAATTTCCCCACAAGTGAGGGGCATGATTAGACTTAAAAAGTGTTCTATTTAACATTTAAATATCAACACTCATCTGAATATGGCAAGGACCAGAATGTAACAGTTTTCTTTAAAATGTAACATCCAGAAACAGGAAAATTTCTCAGTTTTTAAAATTCACTGCCAAATCACCAATAGAAAACACAAACTCATAAGGAAGTTTTACTAGTTCAGCCCCTATTAAAAATTCTTTCTATCCTTCCAAACCATATGTATTTGTTAACTCTCAAAATTAATTAGCCAGTTGGAAACCACCTTCCTGGTTACCAAGTAAAACAAACTTTTCACAGTAATACTGTTTTTTCAGGGCTATATGGAGTGTTACACTCCAGTAACAGAAATACACAGGGGTAACGGAAAACATGGGCAAATTTACAGGCAACAACTTCTGGAGTTTGCACAAGCACTGGAGGAAACACAAGCTGCCATCTCATCTCTACCACAAACACGGTGATACCTCTTACTTCACACTAGAGATGGTTCTGAAGCAATAAATTTTTAGAGCATTTTCTAGAAAGGTATTTTATGTGCATGACTAATTTATTCAAAATTGCATGCATTACTCATTATAAACAAACCTTCGTGGGGTTGTTGTTTGGGGGTTTGGTGCTTGTTGTGTTTTTGTCTGGGGTTTTTTACATACTGTTTTCTCCTCTTAAATAAAGTCTGTCTCTGCTTTCAAACACAAATCCTAATCTGGAGCTCATGGCTGAGACCAGTCTTGGAGATCAGTCTCTCCATGAGATACTGGATGCATGTCCCCATTTGCTGAAGTAAAAAGCTTGTCTACACTGGCAGCCTGTTTCTGTCAGCAGACATTAATGAACAGTCATAGAATGAGTGTATGGATAAGACTTGCATGCAGAGATTGTTCTGTAACATACCCTCTCTATCTGATTCCAAATCTTTTGGACTTTTTGAGCAAGAGGTTGTTCAGCATAACTCTTCAGCAAGATAGTGATGTCCCTTCTTTACTATTCATCTAAGAAACAACAGCAACACCCTACCACCAAAATTCAAGTCTGAAAAGAACTTATCCAGTTACCATATTAAATATGATTAAAAATTTACAGAAGCTCATTCACACCCATTTCAAAAGCATTGCAACAAATCTGTTCAGGCTGTGAGAACTTTTGCATCATAACTGGTTTTGGCCCGAAGAGCCAATCTTTGCTCATCTTTCATACTTGAGTCATATACTACCACTTAGTCACATACCTTATAGACTGCTGACGACGATGTTATAGAACCGTTTCAGCAACAATATTCTGTTCTCTTTAACCCTGTTTTTTAAAGCATGTCCTTATGACCCAGCACACAAGTAATTTTTTGTCCTCTACCATCCCCCTAAAACCTTTATTCCTCTGACAGCTGAACTTCTCTTTTCACATCTGGCCAGCAACAAGTAGAAACTGAAGCAAGTGATAGATTTCTCATTGGGTTTTCTTCTCAATTCACTGAGTTTCAAAGTTGGACTTTTCCAAAACTATGATGGAATGCACTCTCTGGTATTACTAATCCAATGACTTTGAGTGCTGTAGGAGCATAAGAAGAATGAACTTCAAAAAGTAGCCAGGTTCCTGCATTTTCCCTCAAGAGCCTGCCCCATTACTGTTGTCAAGGGCAGCAGATGGGGCTAAACAAACCACTCATCTGACAAGGGAGATTCAACCCCACAACCAATAGCACTCATGGAATGAATGTACTCTCAATCCCTTCTTGTGATTGACTTGCAACTTCCAGAAAAGAAATATAAAGAAAAATATAATTTTTTTTTTCCTTAAAAGAAATACAAATCCAAAGGGGAAGATGGAGTAAAAAAAAAAAAAAACCAAAAAAAAACACCAAACAAAAAATCCAAACAAACAAAAACACCAAAAAAACCTTTTAATGATGACCACCAGATAAGAACATAAAGATTTTTTTCCCTAACCACCTTAAACTCACCCTAAAAAGTATACCAGATACATTTCTGCTACCCTATGGAAAGCTTACTCCATTATTTTCTAGACTGAATCCTCTCCATCATGAAATTAAGAGAAATTTTGCACAGATTTTAAGAAATAGCAGAAGACAGCACTTTGTTGATATAATGGCATGCAATGCAGACAGCTACTTTTAGAGACAGCGTAGTATTTTTGTGTGTAGTTGTCAAAGTCAACATTTAAAGACTGCACAAAACCCCCTAAAAATTTTAAGTGCCAAGGAATAAAAGTACTACTTCAGTGAATACATTCTGATACATATCTGAGTACTTCAGTGACAAATATTTGCAAGATTAAGCTCTGATTAAGACTACAGAGCCTGCATATAAAACACAGGCAAGCTAGAGACAAAATCCACAAACTGATGAAGCGAAGAGAAATAGCTGTTTCTTCTCAATATTAAGAATTAGTTACTGTCTATTAACTTCACGGAACTCCCCTAAAAGCAATGAGCTACAGAAATGGGCTGAGGATAGCTCAGTTTGCTGTGTTATACATTGAGAGTAGAGAGGTCGACTCTCAAACTGGACAAAGTGCAGGGCTATAATAAACTATTTAATAACTTGGATTTATTTACAAAATTCTATAAGCAATAAAATGTCCTCCAATTTGACCAGTTCTACTTAAAGAGCTATGTAATAATGGAAGAGTCATATTTCCAGTTCTTGCTGTCTAGACTGCACTGTTTTGACTAGATCTCCACTGACTGCAACAGGGTCTAGACTCCTATGTGGGTGTAAAATATACCCTCCTAAAGTACCTGCCCTGGAAAAAAAAATCACTTTTACTGCCCAGAGGATTAGGACATATGGTACAGCTGTTAAGGATCAGGTACCTACTTGCACACTTCTCTAGCTCAGCGGAGTGTGACTGTGTTTACAGAAATACACCTCTGCCAGTTAATACACGTCTTTACTCCCCCCTCAGTGCCCTCTCCGACAAATGCAGAGCAGGACAGATTAGTGGCACACCCCCCTTCTGTAAAGCAATGTATATTTTAGACAAGGAAATGTCCAAGACAGAGTCTAGTAAGATGCTAATAAAATACTTGCTGTACTTAGTGGTGGTGACAGAAGTTAAATGGTTTCCTGGAATGGAACATAAAATACTAGAGCAGTAATACTAAAGAAGTTCACCAAAACTGGACTACAGGCTAATCTGGGAGTACTGGAGTATTCCAACAATGCTTAAAGCCAGTAGATTAGTCAACAGTAAAGTTTACAGACAGTAAGCAGATGATTATGCTAATATAAATTTCACCTTACTTCATACAGCCTATCAAAGGACACCATCTGTCACACACAACAATAAAGCAGACTGTCATTATTTGGAAGCAACAACAAAGGAAAATGGCTATTTCACCAAAATATATTGTGAGTTGCCTATGAACCAAACATGATGTTGCATAGAAAAATTACGGATCTCTCCACACTAAAATGACTAATACTTCACTTGAGAGACACACATATACTGTTTTAGTCACTTGTATTCAAGAAAGTTGATGAAAGCAATCAAACAGGCTCAAAGGATACAATAAAGAAAACACAGGGGACAAAGAGCACATCTAATGAGATGTCTAGGAAACAGTGACTAGATTGCTGTCAAACTAGTAAAGACTATTAAGATACTCAGTTGTTATTTACAAAGAGTACGTAAACATGCTGAAGAAAATGATTAACCTGATAAACAATTGTCACCAGCAGAATGCATAAACTGACAAGAATATGCTTTACTGGAATTAGAGTTCTACAGTCTCACTTTGGAAACAGCCTTCCTGTAAGAATACATGAAATGCAGTCTTCAAATGTAGCGTAATCAGTTTACAGAAGAGGTTACATGCCATAGCTGTCCAGAACTGCAGGTGGCTGGAACTCAAGTGTCCCTTCTGGTTTTCCCCCAACTATGCTAACTGGGAAAGTGCACCTCCTAACTCCCCAAATGCTTAAGGTACTCTCAGTTTTTTAGCTCACGTATCAAATTCAAGTTCAAATGTATATCTTGTGTTTTATTAAACTGCTTAATGACATTACATTATCATACATGCACAGGCATTATCTGCAAGACCAAAACAGTTCTGTTCACAATATATTTTCAGATAAGCTTGCAGGAGAGTGGATGCACTATCATAAAAACTGTCATAACCCATTTTAAACTTCTACCCCCCTGCATTTTTTTTTCCATTTGCTAAAACACAGTGCCCCAAAGATGCTTCAGAACATCCTGGTCTTTATACTTCAACACAAGCTACACTAAGGAGATCACATGTAGGACAAACCACTGCTGAACTGCACCTGTAGTTTTAAGACAATTATAAACCACAGCAAATCTACAGTTTGCTTACTGATCATGTAACTTAAGAAAAACTTTACAAAAACTATGCTAAGAAAGTAGTTTAAAGCCAGTAAAATGCATAACAACTGAAAATCAAGAAATGGAGAGTTTTACTAAGAATTGTGTTCTTACCTTTTCCAGGACTTAGGTTTTGGTCTATAAACACCTTAAGCTCTCCATTGGCTTCAATTAGTCCAGCCTGTTAAAGAAAGCAACTTTTATTAATTTTACAAACACAGACAGCCTTTTAATTGGTAAAGACGAAAGGTATCTTACGAGTCTCCTCTACTGCTACCGTTCATTTTGCCACAAACCTGACACTACGAACTGTTTGGGGTATAGTGCTTGTCGAATTTTCAGGTCTTGATTTTATAAATGCCATATTCTTTGAGAGCAAGCATAAAATCAGTTTACACATACTTTGCTATTTGTGTCCTAAGCTCTTACAGCGTGTATGCACTGTTTTAACAGGCAACTGCATCTATACCTTTCTCTCTCTGGATACTACTCACCTAACACACAAGGTAAAAACGTTGCAGCAAAACCAGCACAGGCAGTGGAGAGCACCTGGGTCATTTTAGTCAGGAAAAATATCATTAATAAGAAATGTATTGAGCCTTTCAATTATTATTTTTTTAAGATCAGAATACAAACCTCTAAAATGAAAAAAGCTATAGGGCGTCGTAAGGTTTACAAAGTCATCACCATCCTTTGAGACACCTCACAGTAGTGGATTACTCTCAAAATACTATTAACTGAATAGAGAACAGGATGCACTAATTTCTTTGTACCTGCAGACAGAACAGTTCTGAAAAAAGAAATATAATAAACACAGGACACACTGTTTCCATTTAGAAACAACAGCAAGAAAGTCAATACCTGTACTTAACCACAGTGTAGCATATGGTGTTCCAGAGGCTGAAAAGTCCTGAGCTGCATTTTGTGCACTGCGGGTACACGCAGGCTTACTGACATCCCTGAGCAAGAGTCAAGTGCTTTGCTGTCAGTCAAAGCAGCAAAACCTTCTCCATTACAAGTCTACCTGAAGAGCCCTACTTGAGATCTGCCAGAAGTTTGGGACAACAAGGAAGCCACTAGATGATGCTGTGGAGCCATTATTATCCAGGTATATCAGACCAAGGGTTTCTTACCGAAGACAGGGAACTTTAAGAAACAGGAAACTTTCTCTCCTCAGTGAATGCGGAGAGAAGATGATGGAGCACAGGAGACAAGCGGGAATAAAGGCATAAAGAGTAGTAGCCTGTAATGGCATGGCAGCTATGAGGACCTGGACGCACAGAATGGTAAGCGGGCAGACAGCAGAAGTGATGGACAGAATGAAGAGTCTGCGGCTGTTCTGTCCACCATTCCCCCCTCCTAAAAAGTAACACAACAGCAGAGTTTTTGAGAAGCTGCAACAACTTTTCAGTGGTTTCAGGACACTGCCTGTCCTCCTTGCCCACAGCAGGGATTTCTAAGACCCACTCAAACAAAGGACGGTTTTACCACCCTGTTCCCAGGCACCAGACCTCTTTATAAGCCTCACTCTTTATCACACTTAACCACACAATTCAGAAAGGCAACAGACTACATCAGACACCTCCAAAGAAAAAGGTGTACTCATCAATATGAGACCAGTATTGTGTACAAAGATGTTATTAGGGCTACAATACGGCAGCATGACATTCCAGAACACTGGAACTCCACGGGAAAACACGAAGGAGAATTTTTGGCTAAGTGTTACCTTATACTCCCATTCTAACTAAATTTCGAAAGAGAAGTGTTAAACCACGCAGGAAGTGCAGTCTCATTGTCACAATTTCTTTCAATGCAGTACTTAAGTTTGTATTCCACAGCAGAAAGAGGCTTGTACTCAGGACACCTGCAAATTCTTTTTTCCATGAGAATAAATAACAATTATAAATGAGACTGGAAAAGCATTTAATATTGTGGTTTTGATCAGAAAACCACCAAGGAAATTGCTATTTTAATCTGTAATGTCTTTCTTTTAAGCATATGAATTTAATAATTTTGAATTATTAAATCCATTCATTGGTTTAATATGCAAAGGCAAACCTGCACCAAGTGCACGTCAGTTACAGTGATATTCCAAAACCAAATATTTAAGCTGTGATATTCAGCAAATTCAAGTATTAATGCAAATCACTATTTCAGTAATTGGAAAATTAGGCAATTCAGTAATCAACTACTTAATGGTCCCTTCCATTTTCTATATTTTAAAAATTTGAATGTCTCCAGTAGAATCTTTTCGATTCATTTTAAGTAAACAAACCGACATCACAGTATCAAATAATCTCATAAGCATCAAGTCTTCTTCTGCATAATTAAAACATACAGTGAAAAAATATTACCCAAAACAATATGCAACTCCAAAAACGGTAATTTAATGTAGCATTACAAAGGTTCAGGTTAATGATGCATACATACCCTATACCATACTTTTCTAAGACTGAAAGTACAAAAGTCACTGAAAAACTAGAGGACATTTGGAAGAAAACACCACACTTAATCAATAAAAGAAAACAATTTGGGAAAATTCAGAGAAAAGCAATCACTGAATAACAAGCAGAATCTCCTCAGGGACCACAGTACTAATGACCAATATAGAAATTACAGTTTCACCACCTTTATACCAGTGTCTTAGTAAAGGTTCACCTCTAGCAGTTAAAATGGCACATATTCAACTCATTTGTAAGCATATACCCAGAAATACTCCAGAAAGCTATTTGGAAAGAAAACCATGAATCCCACAGCAAAACAGAACCCCCAGCTGTTATTATTCGTAGTGAAAACTCATTTCTAGTGAAAATTCTGTTATTTCAGCCCCAGTATGCTCTTCACACTTCTGGATACACTTTTAACTCTAAGGTGAGCAAAACTTATCCCTGGTTGAAGGGACAAGTTTTGGTCAAAGAAAGTGAAAAACAAAACTTCCATCCCATACAGAATTCAGGTGTCTCTGTTCTGAAATAGAAGCACTAGACAAAACATCTCTCAGTATGCATTTTGAGGACATTCTCCCTGTTTTTCAAGCCAGGTTATTTTGGAGGAAGCACCAGGATTACTCCTCTGGGACCTATGCAGCACAGCGCCCAAAAGAAAGAAAATAGAGGAGAACGTGACTGTAGCTCCCATTCTGTATATTATAATTGTAGATTCAAAATGAACCAAAAGAAAAAAAAAACCCAAAACACCACCAAAAACAACTCTGTGCCCCCCACCCCACCCCCACCCCCAAAAAAAAGCCACCCAAGAAAAAGTATTGGATTTTCCCCAATGGAAAGGTAACTTTCTGTCAGGAAGGGTTTAGATGTCAAGGAAATTCTATTTTCTGATGAGAAAACACACTTAGTTTTTAGGCCTTATCAAGTTACTTGTAACAAGGTATTTGGATTTTTACTATTTTCCTATGTATTCTTTTTGTATTCCACAGTTTCTTTTTATCTTCTCACGAATCTCAATCTCAAGATGTGTTATATCCTTTGATGGTGATCCTGGGGCTGCTTGAAATAATAATGCTCTTTACATCTGATTTTGAAAGCTTATTAAGTGTGTTCAACTTCACAATTCAGCAAAGTTTTTCTCTTTGAAGACACATGTTGGCTATGTCTACCTCTCTACAGCTACAAAAAGAAATCCCTGAAATCCTAAACAGGCAACAGATACAGCCTTCATCCTTCATACACCACAACAAAGCCAACAATGATTTTAAAAAATAGCTTTTGACATCCAACACAGCATCTAAGCTGTAATAACTTAGTCTCTTCCCACAGAGGAAAGGTGGGTAAAGCCCACTGGACAAAGCACTAATCTGGTAATTTGAGTTGCCAAAGTTGTGGTGGAGCAGAGATCCCAACCAGCACCAAGGTTTGGTCTCAGCTCATTGTTCAGCGCTCCTGAGGAAAAGAAATTAACTGAAGGGCTAAACATGTTAAAAAAATCAACTAAAGTTAGCCTTAGCCTGCTATGGGATCATTGGCAGTCCTGAGGACTGGGAAGTCTATTTTTGTTTTGTTTACAAGTGAAAACTGAAAGGCAGTACAAGTGCCCTCAGCCTGAAAATCAGTAAACTGATTTGCTTTTTTGTTGGGACTGAAGTTAAACCGAAAAAAAAAATTTCTGAAGATGCAGACATTTTCAGTTATTAAAAAATCCCTAAAGATTACAAGAGAATAATTTAGTATATTACTAACAAGCTACTATTTGCAGCCTCTGAAGTTATGCACTAGAAAATCAACATCCTTACAACAAAAATATAATTTCTTCCACAGCTTTCCAGCCTTGCAATTCAATTTGTTAATAAAAACTGGCATCAAATTATTCACTAAACCTTTAAACTAAACAGGAAAATATGCAAGGTGAATTTGGACTGAAGGACAAAGAACCTATAAAAGCAATAAGTTTATCTGACAAAAACAAGTGCATGTGCTATGTATATCAGATTTAACCAGAGGGGCACATTGCCCCACACTACTTGAAATAAGTATGGGGAAGAGAAGGGTGCTTTTGTGCCACAGATATACCCCCTCTACCTTGCTTCCACGTAATGAGCCCATTTTAAGAACGCTACCTGAAAAAGTGCTGAAAGAAGAGCAAAAAGGGTAGAGATACATCAAAACAGAGGTATCTGCTACAAGACTGATTTCCAGAACAGAAATTTTTAGTTGTTAACAGCAGATTAAACCCATAGAGCCTGGAGGCACAGGACGGGGTTTCACAAAGAGATACAAATGCCAAAGATACAAGAATGGTTAAAGAATGGGAGTCAGAATGGGACAGTCTGAAAAAGAGACAATTTTGGGACTGGCTGGAAAAGACACAGAAAATGAGCTAGAAAATCAGATGGAAAATGGCAGAATTAGGAGTTGAGATAGAGAAACTCTAAGTCACTGAAAAAGTACAGGCAATACAACTGAGAAGAGAGCTTTAATGGAACAATGAGATCAAATCCTGTGAAAAGAAGGGAAGAACACAGGAAGTGGGAAAAGAACACAATCTAAACTACAACGGAAAGGGGAAACAAGATAGAACTCGGACAGCGAAGTTAAAAATAAATTAGGAAAGAAGTAGCGATGACAGAATCAGAAAATGGAGGAATTGGAAAAGAAAAGCATTTCCACCCAGAGCTTTTCAAGGCATTTGGTGCTGTTGGATTGATGGTTGGACTTGATCTTGGAG